TGTTTGGGCGCCACCTAGTTTCCAATTAAATTTATAACAAGTATCACTGTAGGGATTCTGGAGTTAAAAGAGACACCAACTCGCAAGGTACACAGGAATTTCTTGACAAAAGAAAATAAAAAGATTAATGCGAAGTCCTGGAGGACAGGCTAGCGAGAATGAATGAAATGCGAAAGGCTAAATAGTAGCAGCTCACAGGACTGTGAACCCCTTCTGAAGATGCCAACCAGTCGTCTAGGCTAAACGTAAAATAAAAATATTTTACGATGGCCTAACTACCCAAAAACCAACCAAATAGCATTAACGAGAATAAATTTGTGTATTACCTCCGCAAAATGGTTACAATAAAAAAATTAAAAAAACCTTGGATATCCCGAACAGCAACCAAGGGTGGGAAATCCCAGATGCTACCCCAAAACGGGAGGGTAGAACCGGATGGTAAAACTGGATGGTAGAACTGGAGGGTAAAACCCTCGAACAATGAGGGTTCTCCAAAAATGGGAAACTGCTCCTCACAGGAGTGAGTCCCAATCAAACTGGCCTTGGACTAGCCCTGAGGCGGTTCCTCTCAGCTCGACGGTTGAGTGTAGTTATCTGCACGGTTAAATCCTCAAGAGGGTGACAAAAAGGTTCCGACAAAAAAAAACACCAAGGGGGCCGACTTCTAGCAAAAACCACCCCAGCACCCTTTAAAACTCGCAACTCAACGTGTGAACTAATCACAGAATCGGGCAGTGGACCGCAGAAAATTACTACACCAGAGCACCGGAAATAGCTCCAAGTCACCTTTAGGTCTCGTATTTACGGTTGTCAGAAATTATGAAAAATGAACGAGATGGGTAGTAGAATACGATTTACCACCTACAATATTTAAGCATCAATATTTAACCTTTACAAAAGAATTTCTAGAAATAGTCAGGAGTGTCTAAAGCGTACAAAAGTTTCAGCGACTTTTATTTTTAGTTGTCTCGTGTGTAATAATTTTATCAAAATCGAAGCAGCACAGTTGTAGGTGGGCAAAGGATTAGCGGAGAGACAGATAGACACACCAATAGAAACGGTTTTTAGCAACATACACATGTCATGTAATATCAAATATATATATATATATATACAGGGTGACTTTGAAGTTGAGTCATTAATTTTCAGATAATGATTGTAGAAGGAAGATAAACCAAAATATGTGTGTAAAAATAAAAAAAAATTAAAAAAAAATTTTTACCTTGTTTTATAAAGTATCCTCCCGACAAGTATTTCAGTGCGGACCTGTATTTGATCGTGAGGTCCCCTGTGAGGTCTTAAGTCACCTGATTCACGAGCCCGTTGTACTATATTAACAAAGGCACGAGGGGTTGGTTGCACTCGATTGGGAAACCGATCCGCATAAACATGTGCCATTTTTTATTTCGTTTGAGCCACGCAACAGACATTATTCACACGCGACTGACACTGACTGTATGTATAACTGAACTGAATAAAATAATTGTAAAAACATCGTTCCAAATTCTTTCGCTTTTTTGTTTCCGATGCGATGAACCGATAAGGCGGATTATATCCGTTGTTGCCAAACACGAGCACATGATATTATTGAGACAGGGCGGTACTCAAACTTCCAAAAGGCTATAACTTTGTTACTTTAATTTTACCAGAAAATGGTAAAGGAAAATACATTTCTTTTGATCAGATCTACTCACTGTTAAAATAAATGACTCAACTTCGAAGTCACCCTGTATATATATATATATAACAAAAAAATTATAGGAAAATAATGGGCACAATCCGCGAAAAGGAGGAAAGTGGATTCGAGCAGAAAATAGGATAGGTAACCCGAGCGATACGTATTTCTGCTGGTTGGCTTCATCAGGCCCGAAATGAATGCACATATGCAACTACAAAGTAGATACACATGCTCATACATCCGGATACGGGTGTAACCTGAGGAAATAAAGATAGATGGGAAAAAATCACATACGATGTCCACAACAAGACCCAACCTACACATTGTAGTATAAAATAGCTAGAAGACCTCGAATTTTCAAGGCGACATCTAACCACAACCACGCGGCCGGTTATAGCCACTTGCTGTGGTACTTCAAGCCCAAAGGATCTACAAAGAGAAAATAATCATGCGGAGAAATGTATATAACAAAAAAATAGGAAAATAATGGGCAAAATCCGCGAAAAGGAGGAAAGTGGATTCGAGCAGAAAATAGGATAGGTAACCCGAGCGATACGTATTTCTGCTGGTTGGCTTCATCAGGCCCGAAATGAATGCACATATGCAACTACAAAAGTAGATACACATGCTCATACATCCGGATACGGGTGTAACCTGAGGAAATAAAGATAGATGGGAAAAAATCACATACGAAGTAAACAACAAGAGCCAACCTACACATTGTAGTATAAAATAGCTAGAAGACCTCGAATTTGCAAGGCGACATCTAACCACAACCACGCAGCCGGTTATATTATATTTTTTTGTTATATACATTTCTCCGCATGATTATTTTCTCTTTGTAGATCCTTTGGGCTTGAAGTACCACAGGAAGTGGCTATAACCGGCCGCGTGGTTGTGGTTAGATGTCGCCTTGAAAATTCGAGGTCTTCTAGCTATTTTATACTACAATGTGTAGGTTGGCTCTTGTTGTGGACTTCGTATGTGATTTTTTCCCATCTATCTTTATTTCCTCAGGTTACACCCGTATCCGGATGTATGAGCATGTGTATCTACTTTTGTAGTTGCATATGTGCATTCATTTCGGGCCTGATGAAGCCAGCCAGCAGAAATACGTATCGCTCGGGTTACCTATCCTATTTTCTGCTCGAATCCACTTTCCTCCTTTTCGCGGATTTTGCCCATTATTTTCCTATTTTTTGTTATATACATTTCTCCGCATGATTATTTTCTCTTTATATATATATATATATATATAAATATATAGGTGAAAAATAAAGCTTCCGCCTTTTGTTGGGTACTTCGACAAAATTCAAGCAAAGAGGACTCCTTATACTTTATTAATCTCTAGCTTTCAATGGACTTTGCCATCTTCATCAGTAGCTGCTATAACATTGAGAAGAAATAGCAACTATAGTGCAAAATGATTTTAAATTAACTCACAGTCGTATGTGAGATTGTTGCTAAATGTTATTAACGTTTAGGTTGACGGAAACAACCAGTAACCTGGTGAACGCTGTATACATGGCACATTCGTCAAAATTAATATAAGCTACACACAGCTGTATGTCAGGAACAAATTAAAATGGACTAAAAATATTTAAAACGGAAGTTAAAATTACATCGTGAACCACCTGATGTTGCACAAGATGGTGGACACAGGATCACAAGTAGGATGAAATATTGGACAGGAGCCAGAAAGTTGGTGGTGTCAGTGTCCATGGATGGAACGAAAATTTGTAAAGTGTGTACTGTGTTGCCAAATCACTTCAGATGTTGTTATGTATCAAGATATATTAAATAAGAACTTGTCAGCAGACCAGAGGCAGTTGAACAAACTGTAATACAATATAATATGCGTGTATCTACAGGCTGTTACATAATATTGAGGGTAAACTGTAAGGCATCTACTCGTATGTAGTGCTCAAACTTATAGGGTATCCGCCATGAAATGCCCGCGACATGTCACCAGTTGCAATCAAATGAGATCAAAATTACGCCAAACCTATGGGACACTGTCCAGGTCAAGCTTCCTTCATTGTAGCTTTTTTAGTAAGAATGTATGGAGTACAACTGGGAGTGCGTAGATTTACAGAAAAGGTTGTTATTTCAAAATTGGATACATAGAAGGTGGTCAAAATTTGAGTAGATATACTTGAAGAATTCGGTCGCACTAGTGGGAAAATCCGCCACTAGATGGCGCTACACAAACGGAATCTGTAAAACATCATGTGTCATTGATGAATTGGGGATCTCGCCGTTAGATGGCGCCGAGGATGACGCCATGCGTCATTGATGGGTTGTGCTTCTCGCCGCTAGATGTGTCGTATAGTAGTCCACATACAGGAGGTCGATAGAAATTTGTCAGGTCCGGGCACCACCCGGATGGCAAGAGGGGCCGACGGACCGATGGACTGACGGTATATCGTTTGGTCGAGATAAGCCCCCCGCCCCATTCACATGACAGGTGGTGTGTGTGGGGGTCGCTCATGGGGGACACAGACCTTATCGTATATAGCAAGACGTGTCCTAAATCGCGCTAGCCCCACTGGTCGCAGGGACATACAGGTCGGTCAGACATAATTTTTTTGGAACCTTTATACAGGGTGCATCGAAAAATATCGGATTCGACTGAGACGACGACGACGAGCGAAGTAGGGGAGAACACATACAGTGTACTGTTATTATACAGGGTGCATCAAAATATCTGATTCGGCACAGGATGTGATGATACCGTTCAAAATGAAAATAGTACATGTATAATAAACATAACATATAAATAGTTTATGATATAGTGTGTGTGTGTGTGTGTAATTTTCAGTTGCCTACAGTGTCGTCTGAGTCAATATCGCTGTGTTCTGGTCGTGCAGGTAGATTGAATGCTTGCCGAAATTCATGCTTGTAACTATCATTGAGTACTTTAGATGTTGATACTAATCGACTCAAATCATTCTTTGACAACTGATGTGGTTGCTTACAGATGTCGCGCAAATTATATATTTCACGTTTCAGCTGTGGTTGTCTTGGAAGTTTTTCCATAAATGCCTGAAAACCAGCCTGCTTGCTAGATATGTTTGGTTTTACCATTTTTTGATATCAGCCTCTTTGAATAAAACAATGTTTGCTGCTTGCGACTGGTTTGAATGATTGGTAATGTAGCACTGCTGATATACTGTATCTTACAGTATAAAGATTTCACCTAGTGGAATGATGATATGGCGGGCTGAATAAAAATTGAGTACCTCGAACGTTTTATATATATATATATATATCGAGGCAGCTGCGCAGGCAGGAGCCTATAAATGCCGGAACACCGCGGCAGCTATGATGATCCCAAAGAACTTTTGTGAATACGATTTTTGAGCTGCCCAAGGTTAGTAGAACTGGGAAAAGCTTCCTCTTGTAGATTGTTTTACAATCTCAACACCCTCGGGACAAAGGAGTGGTCGCATCGGCCAGTTCTGGATGTACGAAGTTCGACACGGTTAGGATTGGACGCCAAAGTCAGGCAGGTCTGTCTGGCAGGTACATCGGGCGGCGGCATCATGGAAGAGAGCTCTGAGGAGCAAAGCCCGTTGGTGTAGCGGTAGAAAAGAGCTAGATCGCCGACGCGACGGCCCGCTGGTGCGAAAGAGTCCCGAGACTGTCTGTTAGATAAGAGTCATCGATCAGTCGGACCGCCCTCCTCTGGACAGCATCGAGCATGGATAATGTAGCAGCACCCCAAACGTGTGAGCAATACTGGAGGCTAGGCCTTATCTGTGCCTTGTATAGAGTGAGAAGGTCATGCGGACGAAAGTACTTCTCAACCCTAAACAAAATTTCACCTAGTGGAATGATGATATGGCGGGCTGAATAAAAAATGAACATAGCTTTCAGAAAAATGCAATTTAATGATATACAGATATAACTTTTGTTAGCAGAGTTTTTAATTGATGTAAGATATTTTCGTTTGGACAGGGTACTCCGAATAGATTCCAATGACATGGTCCCGCCGCAACAACGTTTCTTGTAAATTCATTAAATTTATAGTAAGTTGTGTGACGGAAAAAGTAAATATGACCATCAATCCATCAAAGTGCGAGAGAAATCTCTTCAGGTATTCCAGGAAATATGTCTCTTATCCGTCCTCTGTTCAAAACTCTAGTAAAATCATTAGAAAATTCAATATATGACATATTATTATAAAAGGAATAGGACCGCCCAGCGTAAATTTGGGAATCTATTATAGGAGTCTACTAAGGTGTGACCAAAGCCGAATTTTTACCGAAGCCGATATTTTTTGCTTTTAACACTACCTTCGACCGAATGATAATGTTTAATTAATCAAAATATGAGTTGTATGAAAATAGAATGGTACAATAATGGAGATTTGAACCGTTGGCTTTCTCTCTCTCCCTTTGTAAGTTGCGACCTTGATTCTGATGTAATATGACATAGAAACTTTTTAAAATCAAATAAAGCGTGATGTTTCAGTGATTAATAATTCCTAACCGCATTAAAGTTGTTGCATTTGGATTACAACAATGTAAAAAAGAATTGCGCGGTTAGTCAATTCGAAGCATAATTTTAATTAATGTACACGAGTACATCAATGAGAAACTAGTGAATAAAATTACCTGACAACCATAGTGCAAGTTGGTATATCTACACCTTCTTCTAGTACATTTAACGCCACTAAAATGTTAATCTCCTTGTTTCTAAAAAAACGATCAAGTACTGGTCTGTTCCTCTTATTAATCAGAAGTGATTCTACGGTGCTATTAAAAGGATTTCCGTTATATCCCACAACAAAATCCGACTTTATGTGCCTGAACTCTGGTACATGTTCACTTAAATCTTTCAGTACATGGTGCAATATTTTGGCAGTAGATCTTTCCTTCATGAATATTAAACCACAAATGTCAATCTTCTTGTTTCTAAAACGATCAAGTACTTGTCTGTTCCGCTTATTAATCAGAAGTGATTCTAGGGTGCTATTAAAAGATTTTATATCCCACAGCGAAATCCGACTTTATGTGTCTGAATTCTGGTACATGTTCACTCAAATCTTTCACTCATGGTGCAATATTTTGGCAGTTGATGTTTCTTTCGTGAATATTAAACCACAAATTTCCTCGTTTGAAGATGAACTGTTGAAAAGCGTCACGTTTGTATTAGTATTAATATTTATGACATTTACTTTTTTTTAAATAGTTGAATATTACGACAAACTGGGAATGATGGATGAAGCAGAAATGTTTCTGTAACCCAATATAGGTATTATAGCAGGTCTTACATAAGACATTAATAAAATAGACAGAATTTGAGGGATATTCTTGGAAGAAAAATTCATAGTATTTCTAGGGCAGAAAGTATACTGAATGACATAAAAATGCAACACCGACAGGAGTGCTGTAATTTTAAGCAGACATTTACATGTTTTAGGTCGAATGATAAATAGAAAGCGATTAAAATTTTAACTCCAAATTTCGCAAAATAGCTGAGATATGCCACCTTAACGTTTCTTGATAATGTGCTGAAGCTCCCCTGTTCGCTACACAATCGTTAAGACGTCGCGGCATTGATTGGATTAGTTGATTGATGTCTTCTTGGTGTATTGTGCCGCAGGTCGTTTGAATTTGGTTTCGTAGAGCTTCCAATGTTTGTGGAGGGTGTGGTGAATTTTGCTACCTTCCTATCGTGTCCAATATATGTTCGATGTGGGGGGAAAGGTCTGGAGATCGAGGAGGCCACTGACGCAGATTTACCCCGGACGTTTACAAAAAGTCTAAACTATGTAATACGTGCGACATGAGGTCGTGCATTGTCCTGCTGAAAAAGTGGATCCTGCAATGTTATCAAAAAAGGAAGCAGATGCAGTTGTAAAACCTCGTGGATATAGCGCTGGGCATTCGTGCTACCTCAAATGAACACTAATCGTGACCTGCTTTCGTATACTATGGCACCTCTTAGCCTTCATGGATCAACATCGCATCAACCATTTACCTTGACCACCACGATCGGCTGACTTATCTCCAATTCAACATGTCTGGGACATGATAGGGCGCAGGCTCTTCAATTTGCAATACCCTCCACAGACTTTAGCAGCTCTTACTCACGAAGTTGCAGTAGCCTTGAATGAAATACCCCAACAGGATATCGACCACCTTATAGTCTGTGGTTCTCGCCGCTAGAAGGTGCCCCACACATACGTTTTCAAGGCGGTATGCACGTGAACAACTTGTGCAGTTGAGCGTAGGCGAGCTCACCGCGCAGCGACAGTAAAACGACGTAGGGAGATATGAGCAACGTGAGTCAGACAAGGATAGGGGTAGAATCGGCGGTGCGCGAGATAGCGGCACGCGGCGCTTGAGGAAGGCAGAAAGGCTGTTTCTAGGCGGCATGGGCGAAGCGGTGTTCCACTTTGAAATATTTTGCTGTAGATTGGTGAGAATTTTCTAATTTGATATTCACGCACATCTGCGAGCGTGCTGGTAGCAGTTAGGAGTTTGTTGAGCTGTTGAGGCGATTTGGAGTACAGACGAGGTGGTACGAGGATAGGAGCCGGGAGATTAGGGAGCAGTATTTTGAATATTATCGTATTGTAGTTAGGATATATTACATTAGAAGTGGAAAACATGTCAGTAAACGGTAGTAGTAAGAGGAACAACAGAGAGGAGAGTGTGGGGTGCGCCTGTCGATTTAGAAGCGCTGGTACGGAATTTGGCGGTGTCTGTCACTGAATTGAAAAATACAGTTGGACAGCTGGTGGAGAAGGTTGCCATGTCAGAAGAGATTGTAATAGAGGCGGAGACTGTCTCAGTTTCAAAAGGGGTAGATCAGGGGCTTTACCCAATTAATGATCGGGAATATATTGCTCATTGGTAGGAATTGAGGGGGTGGTAGTATTACTTACTCAGGTTACGGGCAGATACACCCGATGCTATTTTTGAGAAAAATCGAGAAAATATTTAGAGACGCAGGGGTACCAGAGCATGCAAAATTGGGCCTAACACTAGGTTGTCTGAGGGGTTCGGCATCCGAATGCGCAAGTCTGAAGGAGGATTTGTTGGTTAATTTTGCCACATTTCAGCAAGCCTTTAAAGAGAGATTTTGGAGGGTTAAAAAGCAAAGAGAGCTTTTCATGACTTTGGCTTATGGCATACATCCAGGCGGTAGTAGAGCGGATTATTTCCTAAACTTGATGGCTCAGGCAAATTTTCTCGACAATAAGATTCCTGTAGCGAATTTGATTCGCATGCTAGCCAAACATTTTAATGCGGAAATTCAGCAGGGTATAGTGATCAATAATTTCACTTCATTGGACGCCGTGGAGGAGTATTTGCATCGTATCGATGAGTCTTACTTAGTACAAGGGGGTACGAATAGAATGGTGAGCAACGAGCAGGTCGAAGAAATGAATAGGCGCGTGGATTATAATAGATCCAATTACAATCGTGAGAGACCACCAATTGTTAGGGACAATGATCAAGGTCGTAATGTACGCACGTTAGTTTGTATGGGGACCCGGAAGATCTGTTGAGTGATCCCGAGGAGGAGTTTATAGATGAGGAGAAGTTTTCTCCAACTATTTCTATAGATATTTTTGGCAAAACTTTTGTGGTGTTGATAGACAGCGGTTCGGATGTATGCGCGGTGTCAGAACAGTTTTACGAAGAGGTCAGCGGTTTGGGTAAGTTACCTAATTTGCCCGTGACGCAGAAAGCAGTATCGGTCGCAGTGGGGGGTAAAACACAAAGAATCAAATCGCAAATTTTGGTTCCGATCGAAGTAGAAGGGAGGGGTAGGTATGGACGTGAATTGTCTAGTAGTTCCAGGGCTAAATTGTTGCCAAGCTAGTCTCGATTATCGGTTTTCTAAATTGAATGTAATTGTAAATGGGTTAAGTTTGAGCGTCGAGCTGACCTTCCAAACAGAGCGGCAGAAAATTTCGATACATCTTTGCGAAAAATATGATTTCTGGGAGGATACCAACCCAGAACATTTAACGGATGTGACACCACTGGCCGAGCGCGACGGTAATGGTCAATGCTACACCGACACAGACATACACGCGACCGTAGAAAAAACGAATTTGGATAATAGCGGTAAGGTAGCGTTGCAAGGCGTTTTGCTAAATTATAAGAATATATTTTCTTTCTCTTATATGATGGACCTTATACCGCTCTACGTCTACGGGCCCAATTCATATGTGATAGGTACCACGGATGGTCACGAACTATCGAAGGAAAATATTATTAATTTAAAGGCCTATAAGGAAGCTAGCGAAGTAGTAGTTAAGTAAGATGGCGATGATGGCAAGTGCCACCTACACCCTCTATCTGTTCTTTAGTACTTAAATCTCTTGTTGTATTGTAACCTTCGATTTAAGTGGGGGGTTATGTGATGGTTTAGTGATCTGTGTGACGATGAGGTGAATGTCCCAGGGACATTTGGCAACTATGGGAGGATTTGGCAGTCAGTCGACCAGGGGGTATTCACTCTTATGGGATGAATTGGAACAGTGTTTTTAGTTGGTGATCAATCCGTTGGATGCCGCTTTTATCGCTGTTGTCGTTTGTCGGAATTGGAAGCTGATATTTGACAGCTGTCACTGCTTACTTTCTTCCTTGTGTTTGGTGGTTTCTGGTTTGGATTTGGACCGTTAAATACTTTTATTTTTTGTTTATGTGTGGCTGAATTTGAGTGATTACAGCGCTTGTTTATTGCAGCATGTAAGTATAGTGATATAATCTAGTTTTATAGGCTAAGATGATGGGTACAAAACTTCAGGGCCGTCGACAAGAGAGGAGCTCGTGGTTCGGCGCTGAGGGAAGCCCGAGGCTCGCTTACTGAACTGATGGATAGACGTCCTTAGGTTCGCTCATGTCAAGAAAAGGGCCCGAGAATATTTCGGCATGGGGGCTCGAGAATTTTTGGGCATAGGAGCCCGAGCTTATTTCTCAACGGCCCTGCTTATCTAAATATGTTTGCTAAAATCATCAATTTTAATATTGTATCATTACAGTATTACTACATTATTACAACTGCAAAAGTTAAATTTGATTTTGTTTATGTTGTCATGTCTAGCAACATTTCTATTTCCTTGAGTCATACTTGAACATATTTTTGTAACTGAATGTTGTTTTTCAGAAACCATGTCTCGGAACCGCAAATGCGCAGTTAGAGGCTGTCAGGACAGTGTTTCAGTAGGACGTAGATTTCCAAACCCGACGAAATTTATGTATGTTTTTGTGCAATGGGTGGATTGTATTGGTAATGAAGCAGTGAGAGATATAGACCCCATAACTGTTTATAATAGATATAGAGTGTGTCATGCACACTTCACAGTGGAAGACAATTATGGTAACAACAGACTTAGGAAGGATGCTGTGCCATCACTAAATCTTCCTGATCAACAAATATCCAACGCAACTGATGAAATTCTTGGTATGTTGGTTTGTTTAATTTTTAGTTATCACCCAATTTTACATATCTCAACTTCAATTACATATATTCAGCTTTTTGGAAACTGTTATAAGTTGTGACTTTCAACAGTGTTTAGTACAAGTGATTGAAACTACATAACTATAGTCTGTTTATCGAAGGAAGAGTAAATCCAAACATATCCATGCATATTTTACATGACTGGTGAGGCTACATGCACCTTTGTGTTGTCTCCTGCTCCACCCTCCTGGTTTGGCATTGGCAGACCACACAGTGCATGTAGCAAGTCACATAAAATATGTGTGAACATTGTTGGGTTTGGTGTCTTTCTTCAATAAACGAAGTATCTAGTTAATATTTTCCATTTAAAACTCATTTCAACTCATTGATGGGAATTATTTATATTTGGAATAAGTTAGACTGAGCTCCAGTTAACACTGGGAATGTTATAAGGTGAATATTTATACACGGAAATTAGAGATCACATTATCTTAACTGCAAACATCTCATTGGTAGTTGTTTCAATCATTCCCAGAATGCGCTCCAAAACAGTTTATTGATGATAGCACAGTAACTGTATGAAACATTATAAAATTGATTATGTAATTTTTTTTTTGATAGTGTAAATTGTGTGGTTACAAGAAAACCATCAGCTTCAGCATCATATCAACAGTTGGGAGAAGTTTCAAATCACATCAGCATAATATAAACTTTAAACGAAGTTTGGTCAACTTTGACTATCAAGCACTTGCATTTATAATTAGAAATGGAACATTTTATTGAATTTATTGTCTTGTAAAAATACATTTGTAATGGATTCTGAACATATATGTAATATAATATCAATTTCATTCTTTATTTCAAGGTTCCTCAAGAACAGAATCTGGATTATTGCATAAGTTACATGTAACCAGAGAAACCCACTTAAGTCCAAAAGCTAAGCTAAGCTAAGCTTGTTAAAAATTGGAAGCAACCTCTAGCATACACATTTTGTAGATCCTCTACAAAAAGTGTAATATTAGTAAGGTTATTGAAGAAAATAATAACAAGGTGTCAGCAAGCTGGGCTAAAAGTTATCTGCACAATATGTGACCAAGGAACAACTAATCAAGCTGCAATAAATGATGATAGGAGGTTCGATACGTAGTAACATCGCTCCTTAAATCGTAGGTTTTCCTGCAGTTTATAGTGGAAAGAAAATTGTGAAATCTGTCAGTGTTTAGTGCACTCTTCATCTCGAATGTAAGATCTCCACTATTGCATGTCAAATATTTGAGTAATTGCACATATCCTTATACTCCTTAGCATCATATAAATTGAACTTAGATCTAGTTAACATTGAAGAGTACTGCAAAAGACATTGTCTGAAGATCAATGCTTCAAAATGTTCTACCATGCTATTTGGCCCAAAACTGTTAGTACAACGGTTAGATGGCCAAATTGTTCCTAGTCTTAACGACACCCATACTCCTATAGTATAGTAGACCATGCGAAGAATTTAGTGATCATCATGGATTCAGATTTGAGGTTTAAGCAACATGTTACGCCTTTATCTCGCTTAACATACATGCGTTCCTTGTCTTGATTACGTGACTAGATATCGAGTACAAAAACTTCAAAATCGCTGCTGTAGGTTCGTTTGTGGTCTGCGAAAGTTTTGCCATGTATCTAAGAAGATCAATGAGCTTAGATGGTTGAGGGTTGACCAGCTTTTCACATGTAATTTACTAATTTTAGTACAACGATTCAAAATCAATAGGCTACCTGCTTATCTACTAAAAAGGCTACTACCACGTGGGGATCTCAATTACAGGAATCTCAGACATAACTCTGACTTCAATATACCTAGTTATAGGAGCAACATTTTCTATCGTAGCTTCACCTACAACGCTGTCAAGGTGTATTATAGTCTTAATAACAATTGCAAAAAGAAGGGAATACTTGCATTCAAGAGAGCCATTAAGAACCATCTTCTGGGGTCTGCTAGCCAAGCTAGCTTATATATTTCTTTTTTTTTGTTAGAGCGGGCCATGTAGTATTGATGTATAACATCTCAAGATTACTCTATTTAAGCCTTAATTATTTTATATATTAGTTAGTCGATTACTATTCATTGTTATATCTTTTTTTTGTATGTGTTTCTGCGCTGTGAGGTTAAGTGGTAGAGTAGCCAGCTGGATAAACTTCGCCTCGCAGTGTGGATGGATTTCTAAAGACATTATTATTATTATATTTAGCTTTGTGAGAAAAGGTTATATAATTTGTATATGAATGATTGACCATAAAATGACTATAATTATTTCTTGAATTTTAATTCCTCCCTTCGCATCCCCTGGAAAGATTTTCCACAAGCCATTTTACGTAATAAAAACACTCCGAATGGTGTAATTTCTGCTATATTAGTCATTAATATGTGATGCGCGACTCATCCCAGCATTGGAGAAAGACACTGTGTGTCGAAATGCGCGTCATGTATTAATGACTAAGAAAGTGGAAATTAACCCATTTGGAGTGTTTTTGTTACGTAAGACGATTTATTATTAACAGAATGTAAAAAGCCCCATTAGGTTTGGAAAGGCCCATTATTCAGCACTGGTGTGCGACCAATCCACCAGAGGTCGCAGAAATACGGTAACTTATTTTAGTATTGGAGTTTCCCATCTCTAGAAGGGTTTATCTCTGCAGTCGACCCTAGACACGCGTCGGGGCAGGGTCGCCACTCATGTATTCTTTTTAAGCTTTGCTTAGAATTGCTGTTTTTGCGAGATTTCAATAAATCGTGTTCACTCTCGAATCTACCGTTATTTACTCATCGAGAACCCACCCCCTGTCGATTGGTAGAATCGGCAGCCCAGTGCAACATACACACATACCCATCTATCAACCATTTTGTTATATACACTATATTATAAACTATTTATATGTTTCAATAAAATAGCTCATGTGCTATTTTCATTTTAAACGGTATCATCACATCCGGTGGCCAATCCAATATTTTGATGCACCCTGTATAATAACAGTACATCGTATGTGTTCTCCCCTACCTCGCTCGTCGTCGTCGTCGCAGCCGAATCTGATATTTTTCGATACACCCTGTATAAAGGTTCCAAAAATTTCTATCTGACGACCTGCATGTCCCTGTATGTATGGGGCTAGCGCGATTTAGGACACGTCTTGCTATATACGTTCCACATGAGCGACCCCACACACACTTGTCATGTGAATGGGGCGGGGGGCTTGTCTCGACCTAACGATATACCGTCAATCCATCGATCCGTCGGCCCCCCTTGCCGTCCGGATGGTGCCCCAACCTGAGAAATTTCTATCGACCCCCTGTATGTGGACTACTCTACGACACATGATCAGTGCGCCATCCTACAGACAGGTGTGACAACAAATCTTTTGTGTGTGGTGCCATCTAGCGGCGAGAAGCACAACCCATCAATGACGCATGACGTCATCATCAGCGCCATCTAACGGCGAGATCCCCAACTCATCAATGACACATGACGTGTGTATAGCGCTGTCTAGCGGCGAGAAGCACAACATACCAATGACACATGACGTTTGACAGATGATGTGTGTGGCGCCATCTAGCGGTGAGGTAACTAACCTGTGTTGCGCCATCTAGCGGCGAGATCCTCAACTCATCAATGACACATGATGTTTTACAGATTCCGTTTGTGTAGCGCCATCTAGCGGCGGATTCTCCCACTAGTGCGACCGAATTCTTCAAGTATATCTACTCGAATTTTGAGCACCTTCCATGTATCCAATTTTGAAATAACAACCGTTTCTGTAAATCTATGCACTCCCAGTTGTACTCCATACATTCTTACTAAAAAAGCTACAATGAAGGAAGCTTGACCTGCACAGTGTCCCATAGGTTTGGCGTAATTTTGATCTCATTTTATTGCATCTGGTGACATGTCGCGGGCATTTCAAGGTGGATACCCCATAAGTTTGAGCACTACATACGAGTAGATACCTTACAGTTTCCCACAATATTATGTAACACCCTGTAGATACACGCATATTATATTGTACCAACTGAGCCATTAATAAAGGCCAGTGGCTGTATCTCGGCAGCCAGTAAGACCAGAGATATCGATTCAAAAATCTTATAACGAAGGTAGCTGAAAGAAGCTTCTGGAAATCATTTTTAACTTCCTTAAATGGCCGCTGGGAGATGTAACTCCAACCTAGAAAGTTTAAGTGTAGTGGAACTTCTAAGTGTCTTTACTGGTTTTCAGTCTTGGTGTCGTCTATAAAAGTTTAAATGTGGGCTTCTGATGAAGCTTAAGCTCTGACGTCAGCTCTTTTTGGTTGTCAGATTTTCATCGCATCGATTATTATAACTTCATTGAGAACAGCTCTTCGGAACACCCACAAAACAATATTTAGTGCCGATTTCACAAGTTAACAAACCATTATTCTTCACCAATAGGGTACGAGTACCGAACAGTCCGTCAAATATACCCAATAAGCCTCAAGATCTCTCCGTCAAATTTTTGGCAGCAAATAGCATCAAAGTATTCAAAACAAAACACTGTTCAATATGAAGTGACAGCTTGCCATTGAAATGTTTTCAGTTCATTAAATATTATGAAATTATATAAAACTGCGCCAAAATTAAAAAAAAAGGTTGATGTCCGAGTAAAATCCATTCTTTTTTCAGTTTAGCTGAAGGTTTTTCTATGTTTATTGAAGCTTTTGTAATCGATATGTGATTGTATTAACTGAACATCACTCACTGTGTGTTAATAGTTTATCCTACATTTGCAAACTTGCACTTTCAAACCCTTACATGAAAAAGCCTTTTCAGTCAAATGTTTGTTACATGTTTCATTTCAACACATTCATACACTTCTTTCCAATTCCTCAACAACATTTTGACACCACTGGTCCGAAACTGGTTAAGATTTCAAGATTCATATATACAATTGCAGTTGCAGTTTTTTGTTTTGATTTTAGTGTATAATCAGTCGCACCATCAGTGATGGTACATGGTACACTCAACATAACCACGTATTTCGGGGTTAGTGCAGATTTAACGTGTACACGACAGTGTAATATGTAATACTGCACAAGAAAGATGGAGATTGGAGGGAGCACTTTTTATACGGAAAATCCATTTTTCATAAATAACACAAGCTTAAAACAAGAAAACATAGACTACAGTAACGTTGGAGAAGAAGAATAGAACAAAGAACAATTGACATTTGAAATTAGTGTCTAACAATGTTAGTGATGGGAGAATACATTTGCAATCAGTGGAATGCATTGGAACGGATAAAAAATATGAATTGAATCGTTTTTACGTTATCTCGACTGACAGACTGGAATATCTGCTCTGTTTCTGTACATATATTTTTGTGGTATTGTTGCATAAAGTAGTTTGTTCACGAACCAGTTCCTAGAACTGAATGCAACTTAATGCAAAGAACTAGAAAGCACATCACTATTTCAAGTAATCCAAGGAGGGACAAATTGTCATTTCATCGTACTAGTGATGAGAGAATCGAAAGCCTGAGATTCGCTTTGCCTCTGTGGCTCAGAGATATAGTGTTTTCTTCTGATGAAACTAGCGCAGTTTTTGTGCTTAAAATACTCTACCTTAGTTAATACCGTTGATCCTAAGTTTGTTTCCATAACAACATCAAACAACTCTCATGACGTGCCGCGG